ATTTCTTGTCATTGTTTATCTTGCATTGATAGTGTATTAGCAAATACAAATCTACATTCTTTATAGTAAAGATGGTCTATATCCAGTTAATTGGTAATAACTTCTAGTTTATTTCTTTTGAAGTATACCATGCATCCACAGCAATGGTATGTATGCTTCATTTGATATAATAATGAGGTTGTGTTTCCTAGATCAATATTGGTGGTATTGACAGTTGATTCATGGATTTATATTAGAATTTTCTATTTTTGTTTTCTATATTTTTCAATAGACAGTTTTTAAAGATATGTCCTTTTTTATAACAATAGGTACATTCATTAGTTCTTTCCCAAATTGGTGGTTGAGTTGGTCATTGACAGTTTATATCTTTGCATCCTATTCTTCTACAGTTTTGACATCTTCGAACTTTTGCCAGTTGTATGATTTGGTTTACTTGACATCTTTTTTCATAGCATTTATAGCTATTACATGCTGAGCATCGATTAGTACAGTTAGCTTGAGCATGTCCTTGTTTTCCACATTTCATACATGTGAAGAGTGAGCAATCTTTTTGGATATGTCCTCGTTTCAATTTGAGTTTGATAAGAAGTGGTTTCTTTTTGTTTTTGGGCAATTTGCTCTTGGAGTTTCTTTTTTTCCTGTTCAGATTGCTGAATATTTTGCTTTGCTTCGGTCTTTTTCTGCATTGTGCACAGATTGATAATGAGCAAGTTCGTTGGGTATGTCCTACTTTGTTGCAGACTAGGCATTTATCATTAGCTGATTCCAAGTCTGTTTAATTACTTCTTGCATTTCCAATAGTTGTGGTTTCTTTATTGAAGAGAGTATTTTCAATAGTTCTTGGGTACAGTACTCCTTGAGGTTGTTGAATACTTGATTGTACTGTGTTTCCGTTAATAGCCACAGTTGTGTTATATATAGTGAAAATGATTGAAGATATATCATGGTTGGTTCCAATTCCACTGATATTACTTTGATTTTGGTTAGTTCCAAAGCTTGGACTTGAGTCTTCTATTTTTGTGTTTCAATTATTATTAATTGTTGGATTAATTCTTTACCAGTTAGGTTTGGATTAATATCTGAGAATACTTCTAATTCTTTTCTTTGTTGTTTGTTTGGTTCTAAATATTCTTTCCAATACTTGAGTATCGATATTAACTGATTAGTTAATTCAGGGTATGAATTAGGTTTATTCTGTTCGAATTTGTACTGTAATACTTCTTCAAGTTCTTCAATTTGTAACTCAAATTGTGTTTTCTTTTGCCAATTATATATTTCGTATATACTCATATGTATATTACGGTTTCTTATTAATTATTGATTCTTGTATTTCTTTAATACTAAAGAGGGTTTGGCAATTCTTTACTTCTTTAATTTGGTTGATAATTCCAAGGTACGTGGTATTTAGTTTTGTGTCTAAATATAATTCTTTTGCTAATTCTGTGATTTTTACAATTAGCATTTCTTTTTCGTTTTTAGTTACTAGACAAGTTTCTCTTTGTTCTTTTGTTGAGGTAACAAGTTCTTGGAATTTTCCTGTTCTATTGTTTAAGAATACTTGTAAGATTTGTTGATCGTTATATTCTTTTCTTGTAAGAAGATTTTATATATCAATTATTATTCCTCATATCCAAAGTTTAGTATTTTGTACTTCTTGGTTTTCTTGATGAGCTATATAATGGTGAGGTTTTGGTGACTTATTTTCAGGGTTCTTTTATACTTTCAGGGTTGCTTAATCATTATCCCTATTTTTGTTTATACTTGTTTACCATCAGGTGTGCGTCAGATTTCCATATCAGTTTTAATATGCATTTCAGGCTTATCTTTGTTTACAATTTTCTTGTCTTCAATTAATAATTCATTTCGTAAACATTGTAATATGTTTTCCCATAAGTCATCATTGTTTTGACGTCTCCAAATGAATTCTAATAGATATGATTGTATCTTATCTTTAGTTTTATTTCTGGCAGGTATTCTGATCTTTATTCCATTCCACGTTCCTTCAACGATGTTTGTGTAAACTCCAGTATCTGGATCTACAAAGTATTCAGAATGATTTACTGTCATATGCTCAAAGTTAAGCTTGTCGTAAATATTTTTGTATGATCCGAAGCAATCTGAGTAAATAATTGATCCTTGTTTAATGTTATCTTTAATCAATCCTAATAAGGTATTTTCAGTCTTATCTGGTATTATTGTTGCAAATATTTTTCTATCAGGTGTCCTTTCTACTCCTACGAATACCTATGCACCAATGATGGGTTTTCTGTGGTGATATTTATTTCTTCCCATTTTGGTTTCATCTATTTCTACAATGATATCTTTTCTACCTATCTTTTGTTTATATTCTTGTATGTGGGATCCTACTAGATTTCTAATGTTACTTAAATGGTAACTGATTGTGGATAGATCTTTTCCCATAGTTATTGCGATAGATTGCTTGGCATCTTTAATAACCAATAATAATATATTTCTAGTATCTCATTGGTCCATAGCTTATCTTTTTTGAACCATGAGTTTGTAAATATTGATTGTGATTTTTTACACTTTTTGTTGTTACAAATAAACATTTTGGCGTTGTTTTGTTTCATTTGTTTTTCACATTTTGGACATTCTAATTCTCGATTAATAATTCTGTTTGCTTGTAAATATAGGATACATTTGGATTCTTCTTCCAAGATTTTCTTGATTTCGTATCTTGTCGGGATTCCTTTATTTTTCATTTCTTGTTTCTTTCTGATTTATTTTTGGAATTCTTTTCTATAAATCCAATGGGTTTTCAAGCATTTTTCTTCAATGTTCATTTTGATCATCTTTATATATTTGTTTTCTTTAATATATCTTTATTTAGCAATTATTCTATTCGTTCAATTACTCCTTTTCTTTATTTTTCTTTCCAAGTATTATGGCTTTTACTTTGACTAGTTCTGATATTTCCTCTTCTCTTGATTTTGAAGAGTACAAGCATTTTCATATTCAACTTGATGGTTGTATTATTTTTATCTCTTATCCTTTTGCTAAGTATCTTCATGATACTACTTTTGCTAGGGAGAAGAATGGTATGAATACTCATCAGCATATTAAGTCTTTTATGGAGAGTATCATTACTTAGAACTTTAGTTCGGAGGATATCTCTATGTTTGATTGGCATATCTATTGGAATACTTCTTTTAAAGATTATTCTTTTCAAGATGTTGTTGATTGTTATTGTGGCTTTAACGAGTCTATTTTTTTAAAATCTTTTATCAATAATCATCTTCTCAAGTTTGAAGCTGGTGGTTGTGATGAGAATAAGAATGGTGATGCTATTGCTAATTTTCTTGTAACTAAGCCATCTTTTGGTGAAGTTACTTTATCTGATGATGGTCAAGATGTTTCCATCATTTCTGACTCTTCCTTGGATCCTTCATTACTTGAGGTATGGATTTTTGATTCTATTTTTACCAGGGATGATGGTAAGGTTTTTATTATTGGTTTATCATCCAACCGGAGTAAGTTAGATAGAACTCTTTCTAACTTGCTGTGGTTGTATGTTGGACGAATTCTAATCTCTTATCTTTTATAGATATTATTACTGAATATGAAGAAGTTTCTTACGAATGTTGGAATAGTTCTAACCTCATCCAATTCTTTTACTTTAAGGATTATATCAATAATAATGCAGAGTTGCTTATTAACAACGCTGATTCTTCCACTATTGGTAGTTTTCGTCTTAATGATTTTGATAATGAAAGTAATAATATGCATCTTGATGGTACTTATATTTCTCCTTTAACTGAGAAATGTTTATCTTACTATAAGTATTCATTTTGTAATCATTATGTTTGTAATTGTTTAGATTATACTTCTTATCAAGATGATTCTGATTTTTATCCTTTTTCTGGTTAATCTTCTTCTTCAATTGTAATATTTATTAAATCTTTTAAAGATTTATTTTCTTTATTATTTGCTATTCTTGATAATAAATCTGCTGCTTTATTTTTGGCTTTTGGTATTCTGTATATAATATAATTGAATTCTTGTAGGTTCATTATTCAATTTTCTATTGTTCTACTTGTGACAGTTGTTTTCTTTGTCACAGATATTCCAGTTGCATCAGTATAGATGTATATTTCCTGATTTCTAATATAATGTCGCTATTGCTTTAAGAATATGTATATCGCATACATTTCTCTTTGTGTTGCAGGCCAATTTTGTTGTGCTTGACTTAAGCCTTGTGATCCTAATTCTATGATTCGTCTACTTGAAGCTGGTGGATTATCATAATCTTTTTTGAGTTCTTCTTTTAGAAGTCTTTCTTTAGCTCGTTTTTCAGTTTGTTTATAATGTTCTCGTTCTTCATCTTCTTGATATAATATTGCTCCTATGCCTTTATTTGGATCTGGGTATAAAAGATATATATTTCGTTTAACTTCTTTTTTAAGGTTGTCGAATGCTATTTGGCATTCATTTGTCCAATTAAATGTAGTATTTTCTGTTAATTCATATAATGGTGTTGCTATGTCATCAAAGTTTAATATGTATAGTCAGAAGTAGTTCATAAATTCCATAAAGACTTGTACTTCAGTTTTATTGGATGGTATAGCTTTGGTATTAATTAATGCTTCTTTTGTAGTATTTTTTCGCATTTCTTTGTATCGAATTTTGCAATTAAGTATAGTAGTTTCATTGACTAAGAATTCATATTTGGAAGGCTTGAGTTTCAGGCCCACTTTTTTGAGGATAGCTAAAGTCCACTTTAGTCTTTTTTTCATTTCCTCTGGTGAATTTACTACTATAGTCATATCATCTATATATATTTTTAACCATTCGAATTGTTTAAATAGCTTATTTAATTCTGCTATTAAATATGCTAGTGTAGTTGTTATTCCAAATAGTAACCTTTTCCAAAGGTATATTCCAAATCTTCCAAATCTACTTGCTGTGTATTTTTGTGATCTTGGGTGTACATTTAATTGCCAATATGCTGATTTTAAGTTCATAGTAGTATAGTAGTTGTATTAACTAATGTTTTGCAAAAATTGCATTGTGTTTGGTAATGGTTGCTTAAATTTTACTAAATGTTTTAGTCTTCTATAATCTATTACTATAGCTTTTCTTCCATCTTTTTTCGTTATTATTTGTACATTACTAGCCCATTCGCTGTATCCAGGATATATAACATCATTTTTTTCTAAGTCTTTATATAATTCTTTAATAATTTTTTCTTCTTTTACAGTATATTTTCTTATTCCTTGATTTTTATTATTATCAGGAATTTCATGTTCTTTTTTATTCAATATAAATTGAATATCTGGTATTATGCTATTATTTATGGAAGTTCCCATTTCTTGCTTTTCTCTAAATTCATTTACGTATTCTGTTAATACGTCACCAAGTATCTTCTATACTTTATTTCTACATCTTTCTTGTAATATTTTAATTCTTTCTTTTTCTGTTTCTCCTAATTTTTTTGAGGAAAAAAATTCAGGGTCATATCCGATTCTTTCTTTTTCTTCTATTTGTTCTATGTTTCCAATATATTTACCTTGTTTTATTTGAATATTTTTGTCACTAATATTCATTGCTAGTATATAATCTCTATTGAGTCATCCTTGTTGTATAGCTAAGCCTTTAGCTGCTAATTGTATAGGGGTCTCTACTATTCCATTTTCTTGAGGATTTAATATTTTAATGCTCATTAATGTTATAGGGGGTACGATAGTATCTTTTTTACTGAATATCTTTTTTTTTTCAGTTTTAATAATAGTAGGTACTATCTTTCTTTTTTGTTGGATAGTTAGGTTATTTAATAGTATATGATTATATTCTTCATCATTTATTCCATATCCTTTGTTTTCTTTAAATTGATTTTCTACTTCTTGTCCAAATCTTTCATTTTTATGATCTTTTAGATCTGCTTCTAATTTATCTAATTCTTCTTCTTTGAAGTCTTCTAATTCTTGATATACTGTCTCAGGTACATATGTAGTATATGTTTGTCCTTTAAATGTTCCTTGTACTGGTCTGTAAGTTGGGTATTGTCTTTTATTATATATATTATCATAATATAGTATTTCTATTGCTTCATTAGTAATTTGATCTGTGTATTTTGAACTAAGACTTGGGCTTTTATATCTTTGTTGCTTTCTTTCATAAGGATCTGGTGATGGTGTATAACCTCTTTCGTATCTTTTTCTATTCAATGGTGCGTCAGCAATTTCAATAGTAGGTGTTCTACTTAAGGTATATTGAAGGTGTTGTTGGTTTTGATGTGAATTTATTTTTAATTCCTTGTCCAATGTCTCCGAAGAACTTTGTTACTTTTGGTAACACTCCTTGAGGGATATCTTCATTTCTTCTAGAGGCTTGTGATAGCCTTTCATTTAAGAATACGTCGTCTGTGGTTGAATGTGATATTCTTATTCTAATTTGTTTATTTTCTCTAACAAATTCTTTATCTCTGGGTACATCATATTGTTCATATGGTTTGTAGGTACTCCTTCCTTTTGGATTGGGTAGTAACATTTGTGGTTTTTCCTTTTTTCTAGCTTTGATGACATCTCTATAAATTCTTCCTTGAATTTCTTTGTTATCATGCATTTCTCCTATTTTTTCTAATTGAGATTCCATAAATTCTTTATGTTTCTCATATAATGCTTGTTTTGTAGGTTCATCTTTACAGTGTGCTTGCACTGTTATTAATGCAGTTACTGCTGCTTGTTGTTCAATGAGTCCCATATCATTGAATTCTTCAGCGGTTATGTCTAATATTCCATGAATATCTTTATTATATTCTTCCTGGAGTTCTTTTATATCGTCTCGATATTTCCATATTGTTGCATCATTTGTTTCATTTAATGTTGATAATACTTCATATAAGTATTCTCTTCTTGTTTCCGCAGGCTTGTTAGTATCTTTAATTTTTGTTACTTTTTGAACTGTTTTTAAATATTCTTCTATTTCCTTTTCAGTTAAACCTTGGATATAACTGTAAGTTTTATTTATTTGTTCCAATCTCCAATTTAGATCTTGAATTGTTTGTTCAATTTTCATATCTTTAGCTATTTCTCTATTGAGTATAGCTTTATCTAATCTATTTAGCTTTTGTTTAATTATTTGACCCATTTTTTGTGGTTAATCTTTAGGAGGTTCATCTTCTCTTCTTTTTTCTTTATTTGAGGGTAGTACCTTGTTTAAGGTTTCTTCTACTTCACTATATATTTGATTTAGATGTCTATTATTCAAATTTTTCTGTCCTTTATCTGCAGGTTGCTCATTGTTTGCCATAAAGGTTGTTCTGCTAATCTATCTGCCAAATCAGATACGTCTGGGTCTTCAAATTGAAATCCTAAAAGTATGTATATTCCTGATCTTTGTGATCTTGTGATTTCACTTTGTTCTTCATCTTTTCCCTTAGTCCACTCTTGAATGTTATGATCTTTTTCTTTTATAATGTTATTTGCATATTCTCATAATTTCATTACTTCATGTATTTGTGCAATTTGATCTGATAATTCTATGTTGTGCTTTGCTATCATTTGAAATACATCTTGTGTAATCATTGCATTTGAATCTAATATGTGTGCATGCTTGTCTATTCCTATTCAAATATCGCTTCTCGGGAATTGTTGTTTACGTGTACTAATTGTATCTCTTTTCCATACATGTAAAGTACATTTTTGTATTCATTTACATGTTTTCTGTTTCCTGCTGCATAGAAATGTTGTGTGTCGAAGCACATTGCTATTCTTTTTTTTTCTTTATTTCTATCTTTATACTGTAATCTTTGGTCTATACTATTTAGGATATCCATGAGGTTAGCTATTGTTGATCCATAGCATTTGTTACTTGTGCTATTTTCCAATAATAGTCCAATCCTTAGATTGTTTTCAACTATTTTTCTTAGTATATAATTGATATTTTCTATTATATCTTCTTGATTGCAATCAGTTTTTGTTCCTAGGTGTAGTACACTCCATCATATATTCATTTTATCAGCACATTTTAATTCTTGAATTATCCTTATTATTTTCTAGTTTATTTGTTTATTTCCATTATAGTATGTAAATAGTTTATCATTTACATATAATCTTATGTTGTGGTGTAAAACCATTTTTAAATTAATATTTTTATTTTCTTCTATTATATTTATATCTTCTTGTTCATCAGGTGTTCCTTCTTTTACTGAATCCAGGTATTTAAAGAATATCTATACTATGTTAGATTGGGTGATAATAGTAGTTTTTACTATTTTATCTCATCTTGCATCTGTTGTTACTCCAATTAATTTAACTCTATTTTCATTTTCTTTAACAAGTTCTCTGAGTTTCTTAACTTGTTTTGGGAATGATTTTGGTAAGAGATGCTCTACAAATCTTTTACATTTCCTTGGGTTGTATTGTTTATCTATCCATTTTTCTTTTAACTCATTTTGTTTTATATTTTCTTTTAAAAATTCTTGTCTTGGTTTTTTCTCTAAGGGCGGTTTCGCTTTCTTCTTCTTTGGTGTAATAGTATTTTTATTTACCACGTTGAGTTCAATGGTTTTATCTTTTTCCGATATCATATTATTGTCGACGTGTAATTGGTTGTTAAGAGTTCGATCTTTTTGATTGTTTGTAGGGGTAAGTATTGTTTATTCAACACGTTGGGCGCAACGAGTTTATGAGTTGTGGCCAACTCTTTATGAGAGATTTGTGACTTATTTGTCACAAGGACGGGGATATTTTTATTATCCATGTTGGGCGCCAATAGCAGGTTTTTTTCGCTTTTGCATGGGTCACTAGTTTTTCGAGCAAGGTAACTAGCTGCACATGATTTGCTCTTATTTTAATGTATTTTAGACTGATTTGTGGTATCAAGTTGGGTGATTTCATCAGGTTTGTTGTGCTGATCATGAGACTTCTCCTTTTTTATCGTAAGGTTCAAGGTGCGATCCGAGTTTTTGTCATAAAACCGGTGTAATAGGTTCGCTTTTTGCACGTCTATTGTGATATCTTGGTATGATATCGGTATGTCTCTAATTGTTATGATTTGAGTTTCTTTATTTTTCTTTATTCCCATTCGTGCTTGGTCTACTTCTGCTAAAAGTATATATGCTTGTTCTCCTTCTATTACTGATACTTTGATGTAGAATATTAGGTCTTCTATTTGGAGTTTTACTCTTACTTTGCTATAGTTTGTTACATTTTTTCCTCCAGAAACTCTTGCAGTTTTAGTTTGCTTATTGTTTAGTTTGTTTAATAAGTTCCATTCTTTTGCTACATTATAGGGTATTACACTTGCACTTGCTCCTTCATCTATAAGTACTTTGATTGGTTTATTATTTATTAATGCTATAAATTCATATAATTTTTTGCCTTTAGGAAATTCTTGAGCTTGATGAGCTTCTTTAGGAAAGTAATATTGTTTTAATAGATAAAAGTATTTTGGGTTTTCTCAAGCTTGTTGATATATTTCATTTGATAAAAGTTTGGCATAATATTTGTTATATTGATCATTTTGCGATCTTTTATTTATTTCGTTATTAATATATTGTATATTGTGTATACCTTCTTTAAATGTTATAGTATTATAATATTTTTTAGTACTAAGTAATTTTTTACTTAGGCCATTTTTCTTTGGAATTTTATCCTGAGTATTACACAGGTTCCCTAATCGAAATATCGTATTTTGTCAAGGGTTTTCTTGACTTTGGTATAATGAACTGTTTCTTCTTCATCACTATTGTACTCTTCATTTTCTTTGTTGTAATGGTTTACTTTATTATTTCTTCTATATGAACTTTTTTCTTTTGATTTATTATAATCATTATTTCTTTCTTTTCTTTCAGAGTTATACACTTTTTCTGTTGATTTTTTTTCTTTGTAGTTATTTACTCTTCTTCTTGTAGAAGATTTTCTGATATTATATTGCGGTTTTCCATTATTTCTGCTATTATTATTATATCAAGGTCTTCCTTTTCCTCTATTACTTTTGAAATTATTGTATTTATGAACCATAGGTATTGGACCTCTTGCTCTTTTTCCTTCATAATAACTTGCATTGTTATTCGGACATGTTTTCGTATGGTATCTATTATCTTTTCCACAATATGAACAGTATTTTTTAACAAAGGTTTTCTTTTGTTTTCCATTGTAATTTTTATAAGTTGATTGTACTCTGTTGTAGGATTCTTTTTCTTTTCGTTTTGGGCATTCTTTTGCAAAGTGTCCTATTTGTCCACATGAGTAGTATTCTCCTCTTGGTTTGGACGGTTGTCCTGATGTTTGCACGTTGTTTATTCTTGTTTTTTGGGAATAATGATTTGTTTTTTCATTTTTGGATTTTTCCATTATATTCATTGTTACTCTTGTTGCTTTGAATAGAGTATCAGCTCTTCTGAAGAAATCTTCTTCATTATTTGGTACTGGGTTGGTTAATGTAACTTGTTAAGCTATGTTTTTAGGCATTCTTTCTACTAAATACATGTTGTTTCCTCCAAAGAAGTTATTAGCCCATTGCCAATTTGACAATTATACTAATTAATTTGTTTTCTTAGTTCTTAATCATCGCTTCAATCTAGATTTTTGTAGAAGTTGAATTTTAAGAATTCTTTTTGGTTTAATGATTGTACTGAGTCTCTTGTGAAGTTTTCATCAAATATGTCTCTAAATCCTTTTTGTATTGTCGCGTCTGTAACATTTGGGTTTATTCTTGTTCCTTCTGCTATTGCAGAAGCATGCCAGTTTTCTGCTGCTTGTAAGTAATTTATTGCTTTTATTGGATAATTTTCTGCATCTTTTAAATCATTTGCGTCATCTAAGTTGGATCTAAAATAACAGTTTATAGTTGCTATTTCTGCATCAAATACTTCTAATACATCCTTTCTTAGTTTTGTTCTAATTATTGCAAATACTGTTTGCATTATTTCTGTACTCCATTTGTATTCATATGCATCTGCTCCTGTTGAATCGTAGTTTCTTCCTCTTAATGTATATCCTTTTTTAGGTGTTTCTGAGTATCTTCCAAATATAATTAGATCTCCTAATCTTAATGCTTTGAACGCATTTTCTAATTGATTTCTCCAATCTCTATATTTTTCAATGATCCATCATATTCTGATATTAAGGATGTTAGCCTTTCTAAGTTTTTTGGTGGTTCAAATTCTGTTATTGCTGCCATTATTCAGGTAGATAATTGTCCTTGGTAAGTACACTGAGTATGTTTTAACCAGTTTTTGATGTTGAATTATTTTCTTGAAATAGTTTCTAAACTTGTTTTGACTTTTAGTCTATCTTCTACTACTAATGAGTATACTAAGTATATTGTTATTTCTTCATCAGTTAGGTTTTCTGCGTTTTTTTCTTCTTCAATATAATTGAAGACTTGTTTTCTATACTCTTTTTTCTTATAATTATAGATTCGTTTTTCTTCTTGTATGGGAGTTCTTTTGGTTATTAAGTTTCTGTTTAAATATTCTTCGATTTTTTGATCAAATTCTTTAAGTTTTTCTTGTAGTTTTATTTTATGTTTGTCTGATAGTGGGTTTGGATATTTGTTAAAATATTCTTGGAAAACTTTTATGTATATTTCGTTTCTAATTTCTCCATAGCTCATTAATTATTTTTTAGATAAGTATGGTGCTTTATTTAATATTTTTTCTATGAACTCTTGTGGTTCGTTGTATTGTTTTGCTTTAGTTGCTAAGTATAGTAACTTATTTATAGGTAGGTTCCTTGGTTGAATTTCTTTTTGAATTCTAGGTATACGTATAGGTCTGTTGCTTGATTTACTATTAGCTTTAGGCTTTGTTTAAGTACTGGTGATACTTCTGTTTTTATTTTAATTTGTTTTGAAATTTCCTTTTCTTTCTTAATTACTTTTGGTTTTTCTTCTAATGCTTTAATTACTATTCCTTTATATTCTGTTGTTCTTACTATAAGTTTCTTGAGTTTGTCAATGTTATCTGGGCAATTCATTCAATTTCTTTTGATGATTTACCAATACAGTTACTTCTTTTGCTCTTATAATAGTGTTTGCTATTATAGATATAGTTGTTACTATTGCTATTGATATTATAGTAAGTTGTACGGTTTGGTTAAGATATATGAATGGTTTCTTTGATGATGCTAATACTATGATGATGTTGTGCATCCAAGTTATTGATATATTTAATATTGATACTGTATGATCACTAGTTATGATTGTTAAGGTATTTTCTTGTTAATTAACCACTTTGATCTTGTAATGCATGAACGTTATTTACTATTCTTTGATTTTCAAAATCTTGTTTAAGAACTTTTAGTTCATTCTGATAGCTTCTGTTTCTACAGATAATTATAGCTATAGTTATTGCTACTAGTATTATAAATATTACTTCTCCTATGAAGGTATCAATTATGTTTGTATCTTGTAGGTATCCTGGTGCTTGTGTTTGGATTATAGATGGTGTTGATGTTGGTGTAAATGTTGCAGTTATGGTACTGATTATTGTGCTAAATACAGTTGATGGTGTAACTGATATTTGTATTATTGATATTAATTACTATTGTTAATAGTTTGTTCCAAAGGTTTGATTGATATATGGTATGTTTGGTATGACTTTTTGCGTTGCTTCTCGTTGGGTATACTTTGGTAGGTTTAAGTTGTTTTGTTGTTGTTTCTTTTTCTTAAGCTGTTTAAGCTTTGCAATTATAAATATTAACACTGTTGCTCCTAGTATTACTAGTATTGTAGTTATTCCACTGAATATTTCTAAAAGTGTATTTTGATTACTGTTGTCATTATTTGATATTAAGTTGTAACATATTTTGGAGGTTATTTCTTTTTGAGAAGTTGTAATCCTTTAGGTTTCTTTGGTATTACAGGTGGTCTTCTTGGAGCTGTATTATATAGTATAGGTCTTGGTATTATTTCAAATTGTTGGTTTAACTGTTGTTGTAGATAATTATCTATTGGTATTTGTTATAAAGGTCTTGGTAGGTTTGGCCTTTGATATTGCACGTATAGTATTACTAGTCTTGGGTTAAGTACTTGTGGTACTCTTGGTATCCCATGATGATAGTTAAAGGGTGCAATTGGTCTTAATGGTTGTCTTTGATAATTGTTGTTTGACATATAAGGTTAGATTATTTAATTAATTATTTATTATGTTTAATAACAGATTGATGTATCAGATTGTTGAAAGTATTGATCTGCTCCAGGTTGGTCTTGTTCACTTGCTTTTTATAGCACTGATGTTTACAGCAACAATATAAAATTGTTATTAATATTATTGTTATCAATGATTCAATGATTATACCGTAAAGTAATTGTGTTGCAATTGGGTTGTTGTCAATAGTTGTATATGTATTGTTGAATGTTATCTGTGTTCGATTATTAGTCATCTATTTCTTTCCAAGATTAGTAATGTTTGATACAGTCTATGATTGTGGATTATGACTAATGTTATTGTTGTTATCAGTATTGTTAATAATAGTATTGTTGTACTTAGTATCAGTATGATATCTGTAATCATGGGTTGTTTTATATATTAGAGCTATTAATAGTTGGTTCTTTTTTGATTACAGTGTATGTTATTAGTGCTATTCCAGATATACACGTTGTTATTAATATAGTAAGAGATATTGTAATTTGTGTTTCTTCAGGTGTTTTGATTACTAAGATTGTTATTCCTATTGTGAGTATAAGGGTTATTGTGGATATAATTATTCCTTGTTTAGTAAGCATCTATTGTAAGTATTATATTGCCTATTTTAGTATTCGTTACTTGGTGTATAAAAATTTTTGTTCTTGATCAAGCAGTTCTATTTATACTTTCTATGAGCTATTTTTACGTGTATAGATTTGTTTGTTGATATCCAGGGGTTGTGTCAGTTGATTATTCAATCGTTGTACTTGTTGAGTCTTTTTGGCTAATCTTCGTTTACAGATGCAGACAATTGTAGCTATTGTGTTTATGGCAGTTAGAATTGTGATTATTAATGCAATTAATGTGTTTATGGCTTCTGTGTCCATGAAGTAATTTGTATTGGGCTGAGCAGTGATTGTTGCAGAGTTTGTTACAATTATTGTTGTTGGAGTTGCAGTGGGCATTACTGTTACTACAGGTATTGTTACGTTGATTACTTGTGCTTTAAGGATTTGTATGAGAGTTATTAATAGTAAAATGGTCATTTGGAGTATTGTTTTCATTGAGCTTTGTTTATGCTTTGTAATTCTGATTTGTAATTATTTATTGTTGTTATCACTAGCATCAATAGTTCAGATCCGTAGTGTCTGGTGGTTACAATGTGGTTGTCATTTAGGTTAATTACTCCTATAGTTTCAACTAATAAGGTTTCTTTATGTTTTTACATTGTTATCAGATTCGATTATTCGTATCTATCCAGTAGATTCGAGGTTATCTCACTATGGTGTTATCTGTTCAGGTTTAACAATAGTTGTTTAAGCTCTGTCTGATTTATGCATTTCGCTTTTTGTTCTAATAGTATAGTATAGTTTGATTAGTATGTTAGTACGTTGTACTTTACCAAGTATTATTTATTTTTGGGTTCCAACGGCGATGTTAATATATGTAAGTTTCTTTTGTTTCTTCAGTTGGGCGCTATTATTTTCTTTGGCACTTCTTAGTGCACGTTGGGCATCTTAGTTATTTCTTCTATTACAGATTTATTATGTAGTATATCTTGCTTTATATCGTAGGTTGGCTAAGTCTACTTTAGTTTTTGCAGAGTTGAATAAGTTCTCTGAGTTTTACTATGTTATTATATCTCTTGCCATCTTTAGTTTATTCGTTATAGGATTTTAACTTTTAGTATATAGGATTTGTTTATTTATGTCGAAGGAATTTATGTTATAGAAGGATTATTATATTGTATTTCACGATTATTTCTTTTAAACTTTTAAAGGTCAGTTTATTATTTATTTAATTTAATGTTTGACTATTATATGAAGGTGTTTAAATAATGTTTGCTAATATAAGGGTAATGTTTAATAAATATGTTGGGCACCTTTGATTGTTCTTTTATGCCTTGGGTATATTGTATTGGTTGCCAACGGCATTTAATAATATTATAGTAGTATATAACGAGAATAATATGCTTGGTATGATCTCAAATGTGTTTCAAGTTAATGATATATTTGGTCATTAGATATGTGCCTATTATTTGATATATTGGCTACGTCGGGCGCAATAAGGTTTGTAGAGTGGTTATAATGCTATACTAATAAGGGGAGTCAGTCTTTAACCATTTGAGTGTGTTAAACACATCTAATGTTTCAAAGGTGAAAAGCTAGTGCTTTTATACATTCAAGAAGGCTATTCTATTAAATATAAAGCTATTTTTATAACTAGTACTATTTATAAATACTATGAGTAAATAAATATTATGATTAAGTAAATAATAAGATAAAAAGATATTATACTATGATTGCTAATTATGGTAGTCGCTATTCTGATATGAGATTACTAGATTTGGTAAATCGTTGATTCGTATAAGTGTGACACATTTTATGTGTTACGGGCATAATCGGACGATGTGTTGGGTGTGTCTGCCTGTACGTTGGAGGTGCTGTTAGAGCCCCAGATACATACTTATATACGTACATATGTATGTATCTCTTAATACATTAAGCAGGCAAATTTGCATGCAAAATTCAATTTTAATATAATTGCCAAAAAATAAGGTGTGAGAGGTCCCCCTAAGAGATACCTCATTTAATTTGGCTAAACTTGAGTAACATATTGGCAAAATGCCAATTGTATAAATTATGTCATGAATGATCTGCACTAACCAGAAAATGTGCTAATCAGGTTTGCTGCGCCACACATTCGTTAATCAAAATCCAAAAATTGGTTAATAAAGTTTACCGACTTTTATTTTGAATATTAATTGCTCACACTTATTCTCACGCTAAAAAATTGGCTTATTCTATAAGCTTTTTTTTAAAAGAATGACTTCCACAATGAGATTTTTTTTTTTTAAAAAAAAAAACTTCCAATTTGTTTTTTTTTTTTTTTTTACCTGCAAATAATTTGCAATCGTTTAAAGAATGCAACTTTAAATTTTGTGTCAGAGATATTTTTATCACAAACACAACTTCATAATTCAAAATAAATAAAATAACTTTAGCCAAATCATTTAATATTTAAAATTAGAAGGATAGTATTTTTGGCATTAAAATTAGAGGATAGTATTTCTGGCATTTTTCTTAAATGAAAAATAAAAAAGTTAAAACCTATTAACTAATTATCGGTTGTTAGTTTAAATTTTGATTCAAGTTTAAGAAATTTTTGTTAATTAGTTTATGATGATGCAAGAAAATAAAAAATTACCCGCTGAGTTGGTAGACCTTTATGAGGTTTCATTTATTTCACAAACGCTTGAAGATCTTTTAGCTGAAGAGATGCTTGAAGACAATGATTATGATAGCGATGGTGATAATACAGAATTGAGTAATGATACAAGTGTTTTTAATGAAGAACAAATCGAATCAAATATTACAGCATTACTACAAAACAAAGAAAAAACTAGAGGAGGAAAAAAAGGTCATAGAAGTAAAAATAGAGAAAATAATGCAGGTTCAGAAAGAAAAGCTAAAGTAATTACACAATTACCTGTTCCTCCAGATTTTAATAATTTAGAACATAGTGTGCCATTTTATTCAAGTTTTGTTAGATTGCAATTAGCATTACCTGACAATAATATTAATCCGTATGGACTAATTAGATTATTTTTTTCACAATCTATTCTTATTAAAATTTTAACAAACACTAATGAATATGCAAAGTCAAAAAATGCTGGCATAGATAGACAAGTTTGGTTACCTTTAACATTAGAAGAATTGAAAATTTGGTTAGGAATTGTTATATACATGGGTTTAATTAAGTTGCTACAAATAACTGATTATTGGTCAGTTGATCCTAAATATCCTCGGCATGATATTATTCAAACAATGTCAATGATACATTTTCAACAAATAAAATGGTACTTACATATTTCAGATATTAATTCTGAAAAAATTCATTAGTTTGATAAGGTTGAACCTCTTATATTACAAGTTCGAAAAATTAGCAAACAAATGTATATACCAGGTTCAAATGTAGCAATTGATAAAATGATGATACGATTTTCAGGGCGTAGTAAACATACATTTAGAATAAAAAATAAACCTATATCTGAAGGTTACAAGATTATATCATTATGTGAAAAAGGCTATACTTACATATTCGTACTGGAATCACGTGTTGAAAATAATAATGAAATTCCAAGTATTTCTGGTCTTAACAAAACAGGATCTCTAGTTTCACATCTTGTTATACAATTATCTAATAGTCGGGCATATAATATTTATATGGACAATTATTTTGCAAGTGTGCCTCTTTTTAATTATTTACGAATAAAAGGTTATAGTGCTTGTGGCACAGTACGAACAAATTCTGCAATGTTTCCTAAAGAATTAAAAGTTGAAAAATCTATACGTTTGAATTGGGATACTTTAGCTGGAGTAGTAGTAAATAATGTTTTGGTAATTTTTTGGATGGATAATGGTCCTGTCCATATGCTCTCAACAATTCATGGTATTAAAGGTAATGAGTGGAAAGT